AGAGCTCGGGTGCCTGGCGCGACGCTACCTTACGACAGGGTCGAGCCATCGCTCAGGTCATCAAATGTAGAGAGAACTTCTCGAAGGCGGAGGCCAAGAAGCAGTCCACGGCCGTCGCCTTGCAGCGGACGGGTTGGCGAGGAAGGCAGCAACGGACGCCTTCGCCAAGGAGGTTTCAGGGCGCGGCGTGTCAAGTTCATCCGCGCAGAGACCAGTCTTCGAATCGCCCCAAGATCAACCAAAGTATGGCGATCCAGAATCATGGCAGGGCGCAAACGAGGAGGCCTCAAAGGGAAAGCAGAAGCGACAAGATCCCCGGCCCGTGTCGGGGTGGCCCGACCCGACGCATGTTCTGATCCGATCCAGTTTCCCGATGCTGGCTGATCCTGCGAACGGAACCAGACAAGAATTGTTTTTTGAAGGCCCTGGGCCCCAAGAAAGGCCTCCATTGACGACGAGGAACCGAGAAGAAGAAGCGCCAAGATCCTCGCCGTCTCCCTCTCCCCCCCCTCCCCCTCCGCCTCTTCCTCCTCCCCCTACCCCTCCTTCTCCTTCTCCTCCTTCTCCTCCTCCTCCTCCTCCTCTTTCTCCTTCTGCTCCTCCTCCTCCTCCTCCTCCTCCTCCTCCTCCTCCTCCTCCTCCTCCCCCCTTCCTGCTCCTCCCTCGCGGTGCCAGGCGGCCGGCCCGCCGCGCAGCATCTGGGCGCAGTTGGACACGCTGCAGGCCCCCCGGCAGCGCACCGGCGAGCCGGGCAGGTGCCCGCCCGGAAGGGCGGGGGGGGGGGCCTCCTTGTCGGGCGTTGCGTACAGTGGAGGCCTATGCTAAGAAACACCCTGGTCGCCTCCAGGGTGCCCTGGGTTTCGATGGTTTTTGCGATGGAAGGCGTGACGCTCCCACACCAAAGATCCATGGGCGTCCTGGGGTCCCAGGGTTGGGTTGAATGTGGAGGGTTTCTTGTGGACTGGCCTCCACTGTAGTGGTGGGGGGGCAGGCCTGGAGGGTTTCTCCGAAGGGCTTCGGCGACCCGTCCTCCTCCTCCTCCTCCTCCTCCTCCTCCTCCTCCTCCTCCTTCCTCCTCCTCCCTCCTCCTCCTCCCCCCCTCCTCTTCCTCCTCCTCCTCCTCCTCCTCCTCCTCCTCCTCCTCCTCCTCCTCCTCCTCCTCCTCCTGCTCCTCCTCCTGCTCCTCCTCCTCCTTCTCCTCCTCCTCCTCCTGCTGCTGCTCCTCCTCCTCCTCGGGTCGCCTACGGTCCCGGGGGAAACCGTGCAGGCAGGCCTCCGTCTCGGCGGCTACGAAGGGTATGGCTACGCAGGGTGTGGTTTGCGATCGGGGTCGTTGGGTCGACTATACATAAGAGTGACCCTTCGACAGCGCGGGGGCGAGCTGACCAGGTGTTTGCCCAGAGGGGCGGGGGGGGCGCAGGCCTCCACGACGGGCGTTGCGCGATTGGCGGGGCAGTTTGCAGTCTGCCTTGTGGCTGTACCCCCCCAAGATCTACCTCACGAGCCCTGTTTGCGATTCCTCCTCGTCGTCGTCATCCTCGGCGTCGTCGCCCTCCTTCGTCTACTCGTCCTTGTCCTCCGTCATCCTCAAGCTCCTCCCTCTCATGCGTCCCGAATCGTCCTCCGAGAGCTACCTCTTCGCCATTCCCTTATGTAGAGGATCTACTCAAGGATTCCTTCTGTGGGGCGTGCGACGGAATCCGCCCTGGGCGAATTACATCTGGATTCCTGATGCTGGCGGTGAAAAACCAACAAATAGTCAAACAACCCCGAAACAAAGAAACCAAAGACCGACGGTTGAAAAACAACAGATAAGGGAAAACATTGAAAACAGCACACTAACAATCAATACTTCCTCTGGGGGGGCGGTGGGGGTGGGCGAACTAATGAAATGTGAGTTTGTGTTGTTGTTGTTGTTGTTGTTGTTGTTGTTGTTGACGAAACCACTAGCTGGCGGACCGGCCTCCCCCCCCCCCCCCCCCCCCGCGCAACGCAGCGCAACGCAACGCAACGCTCTCCCCGCGCGCCCCCCCGCGGGGCGTACAGGGACCCGTACAGGGTTCTATAGGGCTCCCACAGGACCCCTACAGGGTTCCATAGGATTCCTATAGGACCCCTACACGGTTCCATAGGATTCCTATAGGACCCGTACAGGGTTCCATTGGACTTTTGTAGGAGCCGCACAGGGTTGGATCGGACCCCCATAGGACCCCTACAGGGTTCCATCGGATTCCCATAGGACCCGTGTAGGGTTCCATTGGACTCCTATAGGACCCCTACAGGGTTCCATGGGACTCCCATAGGACCCCTACAGGGTTTCATAGGACTCCCATACGACCCAGACAGGGTTCCTGAAGATTCCCATGGAACCCCGACAGGGTTCCATAGGACTCCCATAGGACCCCTACAGGGCTTCATAGGACTCCCATAGGACCCCTACAGGGATCCATCGGGTTCCCATAGGACCCGGACAGGGTTCCATCGGGTTCCCATAGGACCCGGACAGGGTTCCATGGGACCCCCATAGGACCCGTACAGGGTTCCATCGGATTCTCATAGGACCCGTACAGGGTTCCATCGGATTCTCATAGGACCCGTACAGGGTTCCATCGGACTCCCATAGGACCCCTACAGGGATCCATCGGGTGCCCATAGGACCCGTACAGGGTTCCATCGGACTCCTATAGGACCCCTACAGGGTTCCATGGGAGGCCCATAGGACCCCTACAGGGTTTCATAGGACTCCCATACGACCCAGACAGGGTTCCTTAAAACTCCCATGGGACCCCTACAGGGTTCCATAGGACTCCCATCGGACGCCTACAGGGTTTCATAGGACTCCCTTAGGACCCCTACAGGGTTTCATCGGACTCCCATAGGACCCCGACAGGTTTCCATAGGATTCCCATAGGACACGCATAGGATTCCATAGGATTCCCATGGGACCCCTACAGGGGTCCATCTCTTCTTCTTTCTGCTCCTGCGCGTACCGCTTCTTGCGATATCAACATTCGAGGTTATTTTCGTGGTTAGCCGGCTCCCAGGCGTGGCTCGGACCCTGGGGACCTGGGACAGCGGTCCTCGTTATCGCTTGGGCGTGTGCATTGTTCGTCGTTGTCGTCGGAGGGGGAGGAGGACGAGGAGGAGGAGGAGGAGGAGGAGGAGGAGGAGGAGGAGGAGGAGGAGGAGGAGAGAGAGAGAGAGAAAGGGAGGGAGAGAGAGAGAGAGAGAGAGAGAGAGAAAGAGAGAGGAGGAGAGAGGAGGAGGAGGAGAAGGAGGAGGAGGAGGAGGAGGAGGAGGAGGAGGTGTATGAGCAGGAGAGAGAGGAGAGAGAGGAGGAGAGGGAGGTGAGGGAGAGAGAGAGAGCGAGATAGAGAGAGAGAGAGAGAGAGACAGAGACAGAGACAGAGACAGAGACAGAGACCGAGACAGAGACAGAGACAGAGGCAGAGCTTGAGACACTGGGAGTTGGCCTTCGGGAGGGGCCCCTCGTCGCCACGGCTGGACGCAGCCTGAAAAATGGGGTCGTTTGGACCCCCTGAGTTTCTGGATTCTGATGGTTCCTGAGGGTTCCTCAGTGTTCTTCTTGGATTCTGATGGTTCCTGAGGGTTCCTAAGGCTTCCTTGGATGCCTAAGGCTTCCGTGAAATGCGTTGTCTGAGGTCTGTAATGGATAGTTGCAATATTCAATTCAGAGGATTCGAATGGACCGGAGGGCATGCCACTCAGCAGTTGTGGCGCGGTGACGGATACTATCGCGATTGGCCGACGATGTTTCCGCACGGTTACAGGGCACAGTAAGGATGACAAGGTTTCCAAGGATACCCTTGCAGCCTTGCCTCTTCGATCCATCCTTAGCAGTTATCGATGGCCGTGCACCGCTCACAAAAGCGACAACTTCGGCGCCCAAGGGGCTTGCATCCTTACCGCGCAGCAGTACCGCTCTTAACGAAGCTGCGCGATTGCCATCACAACCATCATCCTCACCGTAGCTGTGGGCTCGAGTAGCGTTTTCGGACTACAACACCCAGAACGAGTCCACATTAGACCTCGGGCTGTGCTTGCGGGGAGGTATGCCGCGCGTTCCCGCCGACGCGCCCCAGCTTCCGCCAGAACAGCCAGACACGGCTGCCCCAGCCGACGAATCAGACCTCAGCGATGCTTTCAAGAAGCAGCTTGCTGGGATCCTGGTGTGCTTGGTGCGTGGGCCAGGGGATCGCTTCCCTTCGGGGCGGACCCACAAAAGCAGGTCCAAGCATGCAATGCGCGAGATGAGTCCCGAAGAGCGCGAGGAGGAGATCCGCTGGTACCGGGAAATCCAGGCGGATGGCGACGCGGCGCGGCTGGCCCAGCTCACCAAGAGAAGGACCGCAGTACAACGGGGGCTGTGGATTCGGAGTCGCCCTCGGCCTCGGCCTCGGCGTCGGCGCCGTCGCCCTCGCCGTCGCCGCCGTCGTCGTCGTCGTCGTCGTCGCCGTCGTCGTCGTCACCTTCGGCGCCGCCGCCGCCGCCGTCGTCGTCGTCGTCGTCGTCGTCGGCGTCGGCATCGGCGTCGTCACCTCTTGTGTTCCCGTCAGGAAGGCGTCTCGGGAGGCCCGCGCCGCAGCTGCCGCGCCTGCGGCGTCAGGCTCAGCCGGGATCGAGGGCGCCGAGGGCGCCAGCGACCCAGAGCCCGCCAGCGCTCAGGTGGGCCAGGGCCGGGGGTTCGACTACGTCTTGGGTTTCGGCAAGCACGGGCGCAAGACCCTCCAGACTGTTTGGACGGACCATCCGGACTACCTGGCCTACATCGCGAACACGAAAGGCCTCTTGGATGCCAGGCCCACGCTGAAACAAGCTATGGAAGAGGCCGGCGTCCTGGGGCCCGCCACTGACCTCGCGCTCGCCATGCGAGGCCCTGCCGCTCAGAAGGTGCTGCAGAGAGCGGACGAGAGGAGAGCGGCCGCCGAGCAAGCAGCGGCGGAGGGGTTGCCCCCGCCCCAGGTGCACCGTGAGATCGCGCACCTCCACGCCCTCCAGGAGGCCGAGGCGCGCGCCACCCTGGCCGTCGTGGAGGCCTCCCCGCCGCCGCCGCCGCCTGCGCTTCCTGCTTTGCGCAACAGGAAAGGCAAGAAGCCGCGGCAGGGACGTGGGTCCCAGGGTAAGAGGAAATTGCAGCATTGCTGGGCCTGTGGCAGCGTCGACCACCGCACTACGACGTGCACGGCGCGCCCAGAGGCTGTCAGGTTGCAGGCCCGCGAGAGGGAGTTGGTGGCCAGGGCGCGAGAGCACGCTGGGAAGAAGGGCAAGATCGTGACACACTTGAAGTACGTCAGCCTGAAACAGCGCAGCGTTGCCTACGAGGGGCGCCCCGCGCAGCGCAGCATGGCGCAGCCCGCGCGCACCGTCAAGGCGCTGCTCCGCATGAACCCCAGAGATTTCACGATGGCCTGCATCGAGGACGGCCTCCTGCCCCAGATGCAGGGGGCGCCGTGCGCTATGCCGGGATGCATCGCGAGAGACGAGAAGAACGAGGTCCTTCTGCTGGGTTCCCATGCCGCCCTTCCCCCCCCCCTCGCGGCCTCCGTGGCCTTCCTTGTCGTCGTCGTCCTCGTACTCCTCTCCCCCTCCTCCTCCTCCTCCTCCTCCTCCTCCCCCTCCTCCTCCTCCTCCTCCTCCTCCTCCTCCTCCTCCTCCTCCTCCTCCTCCTGGACCCTCGCCCTTCTCTTCTCTCTCCCGCGCGCTGCGGCGAGGGGCGCGGCTGTTCGCGCGGGGGGAGGGGAAGGGCTCGGCATGGGAACGGAGCACCACCCAGTGCGTCCTCGGGAGCCTGCGCGCCAGGAAGAACGCGGGCGCCAGCGACGTGACGGTGCACACAGTGCGGTATCCAGTGCCGCTGCCGCGCGATTCTGCCTCCTCCTCCTCCATCTCCTCCTCCTCGTCCTTGTCCTCCTCCTCCTCCTCCTCCTCCCTCCTCCTACTCCTCCTTCTCCTCCTCCTCCTCCTCCTCCTCCTCGTCCTCCTCCTCCTCCTCCTCCTCCTCCTCTTCCTCCTCCTCCTCCTCCTCCTCCTCCTCCTCCTCCTGCAAGGCCGAAAACGCATGGACTTGGTTACGAATCTGAAAGCATCTTGGGCTCGATGCGTCGGGTGGCTTACTTCTTGCCTCTCGAGGAGCGAAAGGGCCCGATACACGCGTGCCGCTGCAGTCGCGGCGGCGGATCGTTGCAAGCAGTGCATGACGAGGTACAGCGTGGCGTCAGGGTCGTTGATATTCCACCGCTTGGGAGGGGGGTCCACCAGCCTCACGGACCAAGTCGTTGCGTTCTGGAACTGCGTGGAAGACATGCCCGTCACGGCTACTTGCAAGCAGCTGGGGCTATCGGAGCAGGTGGTCGGAGCCTTCTACAAGAAGGCCCGCGCCATCATGGCGGCGGACGCCGAACGCCGCCAACAGACCATCATCTTCGGGCAGCTCCCCGGCGGCGAGACCAGCGATTTCGAGGCCGACGAGTCGTGCTTCTTCTCCTGGAGCCAGATGGAGGGCGAGGAGAAAGTGTACAAGTTCTGGGTGTGGCTCGGCATCTACCAGAGGGGGGCCCCAGAGAAGCTCTGGCTGCGCGAGGTCGGCATCACGGAAAGCCGCGGGGAGGGGCGGCTGCCGCCGCTCACGGACGAGTTCTGGGCCCGCGCGTGCAAGGACGTGTTCAACGAGAGGAGCAACATGGTCCAGATGACAGACTCCGCCAGGGCGTACATGAAGCGCCCGCTCCCCGTGGGCATCGTGGACGCGCACGCCGTGAATCACTCTAGGAAGCCGGTGCCCGAGTTTTCCCGGTCCGTGGAAGTTATCGGGAACGTCGCGACGGGCTGGAAGCGCCCGGCAGTGGCAAGCACGAACTTGATCGACCCCACATGGAGGACCCTCAAGGAGGAGATCCCTAGTCGCGGCGCAGTGACGGCCAAGACGGATGCAGGGCGAGCGCATATGCGCCACTACATCAGGACGGCACAATGGAAGGTCATGATGAGCACCTACGACAGGTGGGGGGCTTTCTGCCAGGCGGCGGCGGCGTTCGAGGACCAGCGGCGCAAGGACAAGGAGTACGTTCCAGACGTGAGCCGCCTTGCGGCCGCCATGAGCATCCGCTGGCAGACCCGGAAGCGGAAGGCCATGGAGGCGGACGCTCTGGCGCGGATGGAGGCGCCGCCCACGCAGCAGGATCCCGTCACGCAGCTGGACCTCCCCGCGCCAATGGCCGCCTGCCCGGCGCCCATGCAGCTGGACCCGCCCGCTGCGCCAGCGGAACTGGACGCGCCCGCCCGTTGCGTTGCGTTGCGTTGGGGGGGGGGGGGGGGGGGGGGGGGGGGGTCCTGGTACACCAGTGGGTTGTTTCGCTACATGGAGCAAAACAGCGAACTGGTGGACCGGCTCCGGGTACACCAGCAGGTTGTTTTGCCTTGTTGTTGTTGTTGTTGTTGTTGTTGTTGTTGTTGTTTGGTTTGTCCTTGCGTTTTTTCGTTTTCAGCCGTCGGTGTTTGGTTTCTTTGGTTTGGGGTTGTTTCCCTTGTTGTTTTGTTTGTTGTGCCGCTTCCTCCATCCCCCTGGGGTGCGGACGGCGGGAGAGGGTGAGCAGGAGGAGGCGGGAGGGGATGCCTTGTTTTTCGTGGTGGGCCCTGGAGGTGGGCAGGGGGGGGGGGGCAACATTCCAACACTGCGCCCGAAGTCGCGACCACTCAGCTGCACATGTTATCTGCCGCTATCAGATCGTAGCTGTTTGGGATCAGCCGCGAACTACCGCCGCGGCGGACATTTATACGCCCGCTACGCAATATCAGCACTGACGACACCACGCCAGCAACCATCGACGTCACCAGTGTGAAACACGTTCACGGTGGCGTTCTCGAAGGTATCCAACAAACAGGATGTTTTCGTGGAGCACACGTTCAAGGAGCCATTCGCGAGGGCGGCACCCAAAAAAGGGCAACCCCCGTGGTGGGCACTATCAACACCAGCAACGCCATCAGCAGTGACGACACACACCACGCAAGCAACCAACATATGGGGAACCCCAGAAACGGGTTCCCAGCATTGTGCCCGGACACACGACCACCTAGTCGCACGCATGCGACATTGTTCAGTTCGTAGTTGTTGCTGGTTCAAAAGAGCCAAAGCGCTTGCGCCCCTTGGCTAACCTGCCGCGTCGTTCAAGTGCGTGACATGTCCGCGTGCGAGGACCGCAAGGCGGCGGCCGAGGGTTGGTTCTGCCGTTCTCTGCCCTTCTCCATGGTGACAGCCGCTCTGCCCAGGGGCGAACCGGAACCATTCCTTGGAGTTACCAACGACGCCGAGGCGAACGAGAATATTTGTTTCACCGCGTCGACTTTATCACGGGTTACGCAGACCCGATCCCCCCCGAACTGGGCGAGTTGTACAAGGCGTCGCGGAAGAACGACGACTACCACCAGCTCCCACCGCAATTCGGCTTCAAGGCGGCGCCGCCCAGCCAAATGACCATGCAGATGTGCCGCTTCGACGGCCCCGGACACTGCTTGCTGAGCACTCGGTGCCCGAGTAGGACAGCATCTGCCACGGACAGGGCGCCGTCGCCTTGGGCCCAGGGGTGTTGGGCGAGGTCGAAGCCAACAAGACAAGGCTCCGCAAGCAGGGCGCGGAGCACAACCAGGTCCAGCGGCAAGGGTTCGTCGGACTGAAGAGGCGCGGGCGCCGCTCCAACTTCCATTTGGCGAAGAGACCCGCTGCGACAAGCATGTCGTCCCGCTCGAATAAGACGGGGCGGGCGGCGCCGCCGCCGATGAGCAAGGCGGAGTGGGCCCAATTGCAGAAGGAGTGAGTGGGCAACGCAACCCTGGCGCATTCAGATGGCGCGCTCGCGCACCTGCCTATCAAGGAAGGCGCCCACCACGACTCGGCGCCGCACTCGGGCTGCCGCGGCGCGATCTACGCGGCGGAGCGGACGGGCGCGGCGGCCGCGCAGACTAAGGCGGGGAAGCCCGCGACCCAGGAGTACGTCGCGCAGGGCGGCGCGCAGGCGCTGGGCGGTCGGTGGAAATCTGCCGCGCGGAATTCGCAGAACCTGATGGCGCGCTGCGAGGGGCGCGTCGCCGAGATGGCGCGCAAGGCGAAGTGGCGGCGCTGGCTCGGGGCGCGCGACCAATGGGCGGCGGCGCGCCAGGTGATCTCCTACATCCCGCCGCGACGCGGGGCACCAAGGGCATCGGGGGCGCGTCGCCGCGGCGGGCGCTGCGAGGCGCGCGGCTGAGACAGGGGAGGGCGCGCCAGTGCCCGAACAGATCTGCGACGACTGAAAAGTTAGTGGCTACATGTGTCGAAGGGAGGGTGGATTGGGGAACGCAGAGGGAGGGCGGCGAGGGAGGAGGGGAGGGCAAGGGGCGTCACCGACGGGAAAACGCAAGGCGCAACAAAACACAAGAACAACGCCCGAGGTAGACCATGGGGCGGGGCCCAGGCTGCCCTGCGTCGCTGCGGCACTTATCGGTTGTTGCATCTTTCAGCTTGCAGCGCGCAGCGCGCACGGTTAGCCCGCGCTGCACATGAAACTGGGTTGTTCTGCCGCGCGAGACAGCGCAACGAGGGCGGCAGCAAGCCTCCATTTCGGCGAGTATTAAGGGCACAGTTACGCCAGGGTGTGGCTTGTGATCAGAAAGAGCGTGTTCTACCGCTGCTGGCGGAAAACCGGGGGGGGGTCACTACCGGTTCGAACCCCTCCCCCCCCCCCCTCCGGAAAACTGGAGGGGGGTCACTGCCGGTTCGAACCCCTCCCCCCCCCCCAAAGCATCATGAAAAGGGGGGCGGGGTCACTACCGGTTCGAACCCCCCCCCCTCGAACTCGAAAACCGGAGGGGGTCACTACTGGTTCGAACCCCCCCCCCCTCTCGAAAACCGAGGGGGGGGGCGGACAGTGGTGGGGACGGTGGTGGTGGGGACAGTGGCGAGGGGACAGCGGGATAGTGGTGGGGACAGTGGGACAGAGGTGGGGACGGTAGTGGCGGGGACAATGGTGGGGACAATGGTGGGAACAGTGGGGACAGTGGGACAGTGGTGGGGACGGTGGTGGTGGGGACAGTGGTGTGGGGACAGTGGGAATGTGGTGGAAACAGTAGGACAGTGGAGGGTACATTGGTGGTGGGGACAGTGGTGAAGGCGGTGGCGAGGACGGCGGTGGGACAATGGGACAGAGGTACAGTGGGGACAGTGGTGGGGACAGTGGGGACAGTGGTGGGAACAGTGGGACAGCTCAGTGGCACAGCCGAGGAGTCAGTGGGACAGTGGGGACAGTGGGGATAGTCGGGCAATGGTTGGGGCCGTGGAGAAAGTTGGGAGAGTGGAACCGTGGTGGGAACAGTGGTGGGACAGTGGGGACAGTGCGACAATGGTGGTGGCACTGGTGGGGACAGTGGAGCGGTGGTGGAACCAGTGGGGACAGTGGTGGTGGGGACAGTGGTGCTGGGAACAACATTGGGGGATGTGGTGGGGACGAGGACTTGGTAGGGACCGGGAGTCGTTTGCTGGCGGTGAGAGGGGTGGGTGGGGAGGGGTTCGAACCGGTAGTGATCCCCCTTCCGGTTTTCGAAGGGGGGAGGGGGGGGGGTTCGAACCGGTAGTGACCCCCCGGGTTTTCGATGGGGAGGGGGGGGGCAGGGTTAGGGGAGGGGGGGGTTTTGCCGGGGGAGGAGGGGGAGGGGGGAAGGGTTCCAGCAGGGGGGGGGATTTTCGGAGGGGGGGGGACCCGGGCTCCGGAGGAAAAGTGCGGCAATTTTCCAGAATAAAGCGGCGGTGGATCACGCTCTCTCTGTGATCAGGATCGCCGGGTCGACACTACGCGAGAGTGACCATTCGCGGG